AAAAATTATGATGATCTGTGTTACATACTTTGCCTATGACAAAGCCATCAAAATAATGTAATAAGATCTTAGATTTAATGTGCCAGGCTGCAAAACTTGTGGGAAATAGAGACTTGTGAAAGAGTTTAGAGAAACTCTTTGAGCTGTATTTGTTGTGCTCAACTCTGTATGGGGAAAGGAAAAATGAAAGTACTGGTTTGTCTCTGTTGAGTTTTCTACACAAAGACATATTTCCCACTGGGTTCATGGTTGGATCCTCTCAGGCTGTTTGTTTTAATGTTATTCTGAGAATTCTGCACTGATAGTTGCTGGGTCCTGTTTGTCTCAATGAAAGCCTCTGCAACAAAAATTGCTGTTTTGGAACAAAAGGTGATAGTTGAGGATAAAAAGATAGGAGCTGGAAATTGTAGTTTGATTAGGGATCTTCTTTTCTGCTTGCACTTGAAGATAGCTGTTTTCTGGTTATTTAAGGTGTTTCATACCCTCCTAACGTTTGAAGTAAACAAGTAACTGAGAAAATTAAAAATTTATTTGACTACTCCTTTATTTACTGGCTGCTAATAGTGGAGAGAGATGCTGAAGTAGTCCTGTTCTTTTGTACTCTCTCCCAGCATCTCCTAAATAAGGTCTGTTTTAAATCAGAATTATCATCTAAATAATAGAATTAATTCAGCATAAATTAAAAAGTAATGTTTTTTCTTTATGATCTCCTTTTAAATGGATATTAATTTGCTTCAATGAATGAAGATAATAAGGTTAATAGTTTAATGTTCCTCAGTTGATATCTGCTGCTTTTTCTATTACCTTTTTTTTCCTTTTTGATTATAAATTGGCTAACCCCTGGTGTATAATACCAGAAATCATCCCTTCAGTGTATCCAAAGCTATTTACTTAGACTCATCTTTTATTATTCCCACTGCCACAGTCTAATTATTGTAGTGAAAGATTGAACACAGAATAGTTTGGGGCTTTGATCAGTCTTCATATAAATTTCAATAATGAGAGTAAAAGGTTTGCGGTTTTCTGAGATAATTTGATCCCTCCAGACACACTCGGCTTTTACCAAAGGCAGTGAATGCCATCTGAGACCTCTGACAGCATTTGTGTCTGGTCTGTGACATCTCTGCAAGCAAAATGCTTTTCTCATGCCAATAAAGAGTAATTTAATATTTTTAAATGTGGCAGAGAAACTCTAGACTGCTGCACCTTTTTTTCCTTAAATTTTCACTTCATTGTCCCCTATCAGTTTAATTGTCTGTATTACAAGTTCCTACATCAGAATCCTCCAAGAATACATAATAGGTTTGCTTGCATTTCTCTCTTTTTGAAGAAGTCTACCAACTGTCATCCAGATAAATAAAACAAGCCATAATCCTTGTTATTCCATTACTATCGGTGCTGGCTCCCTTCGGAGATAAATAGAAAAGCAGCTGGAGACTGAGGATATTTTGTAATCTTATAAATTGAAATTTAAATGCCTCAAGGAGGAAATTTCCAAAATAATTGTGACAGAAGATAAGTCCCGGCTTTTGGCAAAATTTTATTAGAATTACTTGTTCCAGATCGTTGTCTGACGCCTGCATGAATTAAGGAAATGGCAGCACTGCCATGTAGAGGAATAGCTGGGTTTTTTTCATCTTGATGAATTTTTCTGGAAGTGCTCTGTCATCAGTGTTATCAGGTGTGACACTCTCAGGGCCACAATCAAATTTAAAATCAGGAGCCTTTAGCTGATGCCAGTTGATTTTGAATCATATGGGTCTGATCCTTCTCACTAATAGCATCTCAATTTATGCAGATGAATATTTACCATTTTTAACTGAAAAGTGAGGGTTAGTTAGAAACATTTTTAATTTTGCTTTGGGGTATGGGATTTGTTTTTTTCTCACTGGACTAGGCTGTTAAAAAAGCATTGGTGACTTTCTGGTCTCCTCTAATGTCAGCTGGTTCAAAATCTTTGCTGTATTTTGACAATGAACCCTGAAAATAAATGTTCTTTTATTTACACTCAGTGAACCCCAGATGCACAAAGCAATAATCAATTGTACAGAGCAATGACTATTTTGTTCCCAGTCATTTTCAAAAACTAGCATTGGGGGCTAATGTTAAAACTTGGGCTAAAAATGTTTTAAGAGTACTTAAAATTCAGTGGTAGCTTGGAGAGGAGAGGATATAACACAACACAAAGGCAGTGCAAACCTCACAAAATACAGCTTTTACAAACAGCTCATGCAGTGGAGGTGGATTTTTTTCATACTGTGAATACCAAACTCATTTCAGATGAAAGAAATAGCATTTTCCCTTTCCACATGTCATAGCTGTACATCTGTGCAGGCTGGGTGCAGTTTTGAGTGCAGGGAGTGAATGAGGAACATTGCAGGGGTGATTTCACTGGGTCAGCTCAACAAAACTTCGCTTATTTGGGCTTTGGGGAGAGCACTGATTGACACTGCTGGTGTGGATGGGGCTCTGAGAGGCAGCTGGAGTGCAGTGCAATAGGACACATCAGGAATCTCTGAGGTTTTGGAGCTGTGCAGAGACACTCCATGCATTTTCACCCAGCAATTCTGGGTGAGCAGTTCTGTGTGAGCAATTCTGGGGAGCCCAAAAGTGCAGTGGGGACACTTGGGGGTGTCAGATGTGACCCTTTCACCACCTGAACCTTTTCCCAGCGGGCTGCCAGGCTGTCCCAGCATCCACAAAGGGATTTTCTTCTCCCATTTCCACCCCATGGAACTGGGATCCGTTCTGTGTTCAGCTCTTCAGAGCTCAGCTGCAATGCCTTGGCTTGATCTGTTCCAATGTTTCCCAAAGATCTGCCAAATGAGGGAGAGTCTAAAATCTGCAAATTTGATAAACAGGAAAGCAGGACTGGAAGGCAAGGGATGAAATCATCCGGAAGAAGGGAATGGCAGAATAATGAATGAATGCAAAGTGCCCCTCTCGGGCTGCAGCAATCGATGGCAATAACCAAAAAGGAGGAGAGGATCAATAAAGGGGACCTGGGCATGGTGATGGCTGGCAAGGACACAAATGTGCTGTGCTGCCATGGCAGGAGGTGTGCAATGACCCTGCTCAGGGCTGTCAGGACCTTGGCTGGGCTGGGTGCAGGGTTTTGGGCAGAGCACGGAGCCGTGAGCGAGCTCCTGCATGGAGAGAACAGCCAGAGAGAGCAGGAGCACCTGACAGATTGAAATAATAAGGTCTGTTTATTCTGAAGCAGAATAAAGTGCCAAATGCCAGGAAGATGAGTGGGAATAAGCAGACTGTGATGGATGGGACCGAAGGAGTGATTTATTTTGCAACAAGGAAGAGGCAGGTTCCACATTACAAGAGGAGCTCTCCATTAGCAGTGGTGAGGCGCTCAGACAGGTTTTCTGGGAAAGCCCTGAGCGCCTCACTGGTGGCTGCTAGGAAGGGCTGTCACTCTCATCTGTCAGGGGTGGCACAGGTGAGGTGGGTGCTGCGAGCTCCCGGCTGCACACGCTGCACAGCAGCTGTCTGCGGGCATGTGGAACAGCGGCACTGCGACAAAAAGAGGCTCGCAAAAGTGGAGGAGCTGAAAACTCAATGTAATTAGCAAAAACTCAGTGTAATTGAATGCCTTCAACACCGCCACCCTATAGGAACCAAATATCTAGGGACCCCTGGCAACATCTGCTCTGTTACAAACGCTATATACTTTTTTTGCATAATTGCGTCAAAAGTCTTGTCTTCAATTTTGCTAATCCCAGCAGTTCTGAGTCCAGAAAGTTTTGCGTTGCCTTTCAAATGGAATTTTGAGTAACAGCAACCTAAGAATATTTGAAACAGTTTGTTTTTTGGGGTTTTTTTGAATCTTCCTGTTTTGAGTTTGCAAAACATGGATATCAGACACATCAAAACGAGCAGGAGAGCTCATTATTTTTTGTTCATATTTTCTTTTTGTACTGGGAGAGATTTACATTTCAGTTATTCAGTTCCTAAATCATTCAGGGTCACTTAGGCAATGAAAACTCTGTCCTGTGTCTTGTTCTTTGTTTCATCTGGCCCTTCCTTCCACGTCCGGGCTGAGATGCTTTCCATCCTCAGCTCCCTGGTTCCCAGCTTCCAGCCTTTTACATTTTGGGTACAGGTCTGTGGTACAACAAAAATCAAAGGAGTTGTAATGAAATATCTGAAGGAGAGCAGGGGAATCTGCCTTTCATTCATTATCTTAACACCTGTGCAAAATCCATTGAAATTGTTTTCAATACAGAAGACTTGTTGTTGTTTGTTCTTTCTCTGCCTCAGAAGAATCCAACAGCATTATAAATGTGTCACATTTTTTAGGCCCAAAAGTGTGCAACAGCTTTTAATGGGAAAGAAAATGTTTTTTGAAAACTAGAAAACTCAGCGGTGAAATAAATTGAGCCTCAAAAAGTGATTGAAATCTCCAAGTCAATATTCAAAAGGTATCCAAAGACTTGTGAAGTCTGACAGAATCTCTTTAGTTTGAGGTGTCTTTCATTTCACATCAGGGCTTACATTTTTAAAAACCAGCAGCAAACAGCGCTGTCAGGTGCAGCGGGTTTGAAAGCAGCTCACGAAAGCCTGAAATTGTGCACGAGTCTGGGTAACACATCCCTGGTTAGATAACCAAAACAACACATTGCCTAAACTGGCCGCACTGAGCAATGACCGTTGTCACCCTGGTTTTTTAAGGTTTTCTAAGCCTTCTGATGTTGACATTCTTGTCGTGAGCTTTTTCACACACTTTTTGTAAATAACTCACTGTTTTGCAGTCCTTTATGGAGGAGGAGAACGTTGATGGACTGTTGGTTTTTCCAGTGTCATTGGAGAGGTGGCACTGTCACCCTCCAATCCGCCGTCACTTTTGGAAATCTCTAAATGTTGGAGTCAGAAAACAAGCTTCCCTTTTTCCTTCGCCTTGAGAACAGCGGTGTGAGCTTGTGTTCTTCCGTGTCCCGCAGTGACAGACCATGGTGGAAACCGTTTGTCGTTGTGTTCCTTCCTTGCAGCCCCAGCGCCGCGTCACCTTCCACCTGCCCGACGGCTCCCAGGAGAGCTGCAGCGACAGCGGGCTCGGAGACCACGAGCCCTCGAGCGGGGCCAGCGCGTCGCACCCGCTGCCCCTGGGCTTCCCCCAGGACGAGTTCTACGAGCAGGCGTCGCCCAACAGCCGCACCGAGGGAGATGGCAACTCCGACCCCGAGTCCAGTAAGTGCCGAGCTCTGCTCACCCCACCCATCGTTGCAACTGATAATGGGGCCCTGGGAAATGTTAAAGGTAGACCCTGAAAATGTTGGGCTTTGTGTTTGCTCGGATCGCTGCACCTGCGTAAGCAGTGTGATAAATGATATGTTTGTTAGACGTGATGATTGTTTGGTGATTAATATGATTATTATATAATCATAAGAAGAATCATGAGAAACTATGTTGGAAATTTAAGGGGGGCTACGTTTGGCTGAGATCTATGCATACAGTAGAACAATATAAGTTTAACAATTAACATGAAAGTTATATAACGATAGAATATAAAAACACGATCATCTCGAATGTATGGTCGGAGTCAGATTTGGGTGGAAACCACCCCTGATTCCCAGAGCTCTTAATAAAAACCACATGCACATAATCACTTATGTGATTATGTGTTTTTGAACGCTAACACAATCAGTCAATCAATCAATCTATCAATCAATCAGTCACAGGGCTTTTTGTTCTGCTGGTAATCATTAAAAGTGAGTGTTGGTTTTAGTGTGGCTGAAGAGGCGCTAACTTCTGCTTCTGGAAGTGGGAGGTCGGGCTGGCTGTTGGGAATAAAACACTTGGAGCTGTTAAGGGTTTATGGATGAGCTGGTGTTTTTATGGAGCTGGTGTGCCGGGCACAGAGCAGCTTTCTGAGGAGGTTAACGCTGCTGCCCTAATGGTCATAAATACCGCGCCGAGGGAATTCACATTTTTTAACGTTTCCCTCTCCGACACTGCTTGTGCCGTAGTTTAACTCATGGGTGATGAGCAGCTCTGTGAAAGGACTGCAGCCTCCAGAAATAAGGGTTTCTTGATTTGCCCTCTGAAAGCATCAATGGTGTGTAGTAATAATCTCAGAAGAGTTTGTCATGTTCTGCCATTGCCTCTGCGTCTTGTGATGTCAGAAACAGGGAAAATCAACAGGAGCAGTAGCTGTGGGCCCTGGCTCTGCTCTCTGTGCTGTGCTGAGCTGTGATAGCCAGTTGAAGACTCCACTGAACTTTAGTCAGCTGTTAATTGTCCAGAGGCTCCTTATCTGGATTAAATTGAACCGTGCCATTGATAAAGAGACACCTGAATGTCTCCAAGCCTCCAAGGCCTTGTTAGCGGCTTAATAAGTGATTTGAAAATACATCTGTTCTGGGCAAAACTTGGCCCAAAAGGTGGATTTCAGCTGCTGTAGTGTATCAGGAGGAATGAATTAGTGAGTGCTGTGCACTTGAAATGGCTGTGGAAGGCAGTTCCACTCTGCAGTGGCAAATCCAGCAGAGAGCATTCCCTGCCACATTCAGCCTGGCTCTTGGAAATCACCTTTGCCTTTGCCGCCCAGGACTGGAGCCTCAGGGGCTTTTTGCACACGTGAGGTGTCTCCTCTTTTTCTTTAATTTGTAAACTATTACCTAAGTTTAACTTTACAATTTGTAAGGTGATATGTTTACTGAATTAATGGCAGAATATTGGGTTTTCCAAGTTGATAGACAGCTGACAAGAGCCGTCAGCTTTTTTGATCTTGTGTTGGAAACAATCATCATTTGCTTTTGTGTTTATGCATTTGAGGCTGTAATATACCCTTAACAATATTCTAGACAGTCAAACTGGCTTCTTCACAGAGTTAAGCTCTAAAGGGCTACAAATATATCCCCAAGGAATGAAAATATCAAGGTATATATTATTTGCTGCTTTTGCTTTGCATATTCACGGTCTGAACTTTATTTCCAGCTCTATTTTTTGCTTGTAACTGATATTTATACTTTATTGGATTGAGAATGATGAGATTAAATCAGTGTCCAGGGCCTTTCCTACAGAGAGCATGGGACAGGAGCTGGTGTAGAGGAGTTCTCAGAGCAGGCATGTGCCATTCACAATTAGGCTCAGGTTTGGGATTTGCCAATGCTCTTTGCGCCCAGTGTTTTGGTTTTGTTTTGTTTTGTTTTGTTTTTTTTTTTCATTTAAGAAGAAATATGTGCCATGACTCATGTAGAATGTGGCTCTACAAGTAACTCAGCTCTGACATGTGAATGCCACTGACACACATCCCTGTGAGCAGGCTAAGCAGCCATCAGATGTCTTTCCAAGTGTGAAGTTGAAGGAAGTTTAATCACCTGTCTAATTACCTGACAGTTCAGTGTTAAACCTGAAGTCACATTTTAATTGGAGTTTATTTTATATGAAGATTTTTCTTCCTTTCCTACTTGTGTCTTATTGAAACAGTTTAATTGAAGTAGCGCAATGGTAACAGCAGGGAAAGCTTCTTTTGTGGGTCTTTTTAGTGATTTATTATATTATATATTTTATATATTTTTATATTTATATATATCATATGTCATATATCATATATTATATATTATATATTATATATTATATATTATATATTATATATTATATATTAGTTTTATATATTATATATATTTATAATATATAATATGTTATATATTATATATTATAAATATATATAATATATAACATATATATATAATAAATATATGTTATATATATACTAAAATATATAATATATATTATATATATTATATATATAATATATATAATAAATAAATATAAAAATAAATAAAAATGGAAATGGAAATAAAAATAAATAGAAATTAAAATAAATTTATATTTATAAATTAATATATATTATATTAATGGCAGCATCTAGTGGCAAGAACAAAAAACCAGAAAAAATGGGAAGAGCCACAGGATATTTGTGTCCAGTGTGCTGCTGCAAAGTGACTTGGTGCAGATGACAGAAACCCAAAATATCTGATGAGCCTGAGGTTCATGAGGTTCATTTGTGCATGCAGGACACATTTAGCCAACAGTGAAACAGTAAAAATATCTCTGAATTGATGGTTTCCTCTACAATCTTCTGCTGGATTTTTGGTTGGTGTTTTTTTCTTTATTCTAATTTGGCTTGATGCATTCAAAGCATTTCTTGTCTTCCTTCATGGACTAAAATGTGAAAAGAGACAGGTGTGGGATCTCAGTGACTGCTGATTTTTGCAGCTTCTCCCGGCCGGTTTTTTCTTTTTCTTCTTTCTTTCTTCAGGCTTCTCTCCTCAGGAGTTATCAGTGCTGTTCTCTTGGCTCTTCAGCTCTTCAGGGCTTTCCCCCCCCCGAAAGGTTTGGTGGGAGATAGCCCGCACAGCGGACGCCAGTTCCTGGATTTCTCGGCTGTTTTGATGGTCTGGGGAAAAGCCCAAAGATGGCCTTGGGCCCCCGGGTTCGAAAGGACGAGAGGAAGCTTCAGATTTGTTCTTGGTCTTGGTGTTTATTAATTGCTTATCTAAAAGATTTTCTCTTGGCCTGACAGAGTTCTGCTCAGCAGTCAGCCATGGGCACACACTGAGAGCCCCTGGGGCGGTCACCTATCTTTATACCCGGAGTTACGTATACAATATTTATCATTTTTCTCCAATACCCTCTACCCTTATTAACCAGTGTTCCCCTAGTAAGGTCCAATCCCGGAGTGCCAACTCCACCACAGAAGATGGAGGCCTAGAGGAAGAAGAAGAAGGAGAAGGGCACGCCCCAATCCCTCCATCTTGCCTCTCTAGACCCCCCTGTACAGGGATCTTAAACCCTGTATCTCACACTCCAATTAACTTATCCCTTCACCATTCACCCTTCATCATTCAATAGGTGAAATCCTCCTATTCTCATACTGATGTCATCTCCCATGTGGGATCAAAGTCCAGCCACCAGACATTTCTGGCAGCATTCCAGGACTCCCGAGCCCCCCAGGGGGGGTCTTGTTCACCCTGCACCCCAGTTCTGAGAGACTGAGATCCCACAGACAGGAAAATCCAGTCAGGTAATCTGAGCTCATACAGCAGAACAAGCATGGCCTTCATTGCATCCCAACATCTTTAATATCTGACCTGTCTTAATCTGAAACAGTGTCTGATTTGTCACCTGGTGGGGATTTGGTTCAGCTTTGCCTGCCAAGGAGAGAAATTTGGGATGAAATGATGTCAGGAATGTCCAGAGCCAACCATGAAAGCTGGTGGCAGTTGGCATCACTCATGGCCATGTTCAAAAGAGTTTTGTTCTTCTTGATTTTCCTGACTACAGCCTTTCAGTGTTGTTTCTCTAATACTGGAAATTGTTGCATTTTGGAAGCTTTCCATTCACCAGCAATAACTAAGCATTTATTGGAAAACACTGGAAAAGATGAGCATAACAAAATAAAATGAAGAAAAAAACAGCCTGAGAAATATTGGTGAGAGGAAGCTTTATAAACTCACATCTGATACAGGACTGAAGCAAGGAGGGAAAAAAAATAACTGTAAGGTTATAGTGGTTAGAAAACTGTGAGAAATTTATATGTAAACCTTTAAAATTAATTGACTGTGCTAATTAAAATTAGAAATATGCTATTTAAAATGATTTGTCTTCTCCTACTTTAGTTCCCTCCTTAGAAAAACTTAAAGTTCAATGTGGTAGATGCATCATAAGGAAGAGATGCCAATAAACTGTCACACTAAGTAAATAGTAATATAAAAAAGCATGTAGGTTTGTAGAGAACCTTATCCTTAAGTAACAGCACTCTTGTACGTGATATTCAGATATTTTCTCCTCATAAGTTGCTCAAATAACGATGCTCCAATAACTCCCTGTGCTAAGGATTTTAGCCAAACCATATTTTTCTCCTCTGTTTAAATACAAAACACACTTCAAGCATAGACAAAGACCAGCAAATTCTCTGTGTCTGGACTTCCCTGGTAAATTCTCTCCCACTGGCTGTAAGCAGTGATGTTGATCAAAGGGGTTGAAAGGTACATGCAAACGTCAGCTCTGTTGGGTTATTTAATACATGTGTAAGATATTAATGACAAATTTTCATGCTTCATCTGTTTTTATGGCCTTATCGAATCTGTTTTCCTTCCTCTAGACAATAAAATTATTCTACTTTTTGTTTGGAGGAAAACTAGAATATGACTAGTTCAGCCAAGAAATTGGGCAGAGCAGGA